ATTTAGTGCAGTCTATTCTATCCTGTAATGTACCTGACCTTCTCACCATCTGGATTTTTGTTCCTATGTGTTTACCTTTTTTTACATTGTAATTGGCTTGATCATAGCTGACCTCCCAGATTCTCTGAGTTTATTCTTATAGTTTTGTTCTGTTCTCGAGTCTTCCTTCTGTCAATTTAGTTCTGGGAGGTGCTGCAACCTATGCCAGTCTCTGATTGTTGTCTGTTTTGTTCGTTCTTAGTCCACAGAACTTCCTTTAGGATGTTTTGTAGTGCAGTGTTGGCTTTGGCAAAATCTCTTCGCTTCTGTTCATCCTGGAATGTTTTGATTACACCGTCATATTTGATTGATTGCTTTGCTGGATAAAGGATATTTGGTTGACAGTTTTTTTTTTTTCCTTCAGTGTTTTATATATCTGTCTCCCCATTGCCATCATACTTGCATGGTTTCTGCTGAGCGTTCTGAGCTTAATCTGACTTGCTTGCTTTTGTATGTAACACTTCTCTTTTCCCTAGCTACCTTCAGGATTCTCTCCGTGTCTTTGATTTTGGAGAGCTTGATTATGATATGTCTTGGTGATTTTCTTTTGGGGGTCTGTCCTTCCTGGGGTTCATTGAGCTTCTTGAATGTTTTATCTTTTCACTTTTCAGGATGTTAGGGAAATTTTCTTCCAGCAATTCTTCAGCTATTTTCTCTGTGGACTTGTGTGATTGTTTCTGTTCTGGAAAGCCAATAATTCTTAAGTTATTCCTCTTCATTTTGTCCAACATGAATCTTGGACCTTTTTCATATTTTTTTAATCCTTTTTTCTGTTTGCTCTTCTGTCTTAGTGGTATTGAGAGATTTGTCTTCCAGCTCACTAGTTGTGCCTTCCATCTCTTCTATTCTACTTCTTTGCCCTTTCAGTGTATTATCTATTTCTCGTAGTCTATTATTGATTGTTTGGACCTCTTTCTGTAGGTTTTGAATGGTTTCCAGTGATGTTTCTGTCTTATTTGTTTGTTCCTGTAGCGCTTTCCTGACTTCTTCCTTTTCTTTTTATCAACTCCATTGTAAAGTGTTTTGAAACATTTTATAATTTTTATGAATCCTTCTCAGGCATTTCCAAGGCCTGCCCTCCTTCCAGAATGTAGTCCAGGTCTACCTCTAGGTCATTTGTCTTAAACATTTTATCTCATTTCTGGACATGTGCTGATATGGTCATCTGTTTTTGCTTCTTTGACATGTTTAGTGTTTATCTGTGGCCTTAATACTTAATTGAGTGTATGTTTTGTTATTCTATATGCTTCCTGATTGCCTCTAGGTAGATGTCATCAGGATGTGGGCTTCCCTTTTCACTCTTTGTATTGCTTAACACAGAGTAACTTTCACAGGTGTTGTCTGCCTCCCTGGTGTATGGCAGTTGGTATTGGTTCTTGTCTGGATTTTGGTGTTTTATAGAGTGTGATTGTAACTTGACTATATTGTAGCAGTTACTGTCTCTTCTTGGGTAACATATAGAGAAAGAGTCCCCCAAAGGTAAAAACTGGAGCATAAAATAGCAAAAAGCAAGGGGAAAAAAAAACACCAAAAAAATCAACAGCAACAAAAAAATTATATTTGATACTGCTGTAGTCTATAATCGCAGAAAGGTAAGAGGAGGGAGAGAAGAAAGAAAGAAAAAAATCTGTAGCCTAATATGAGTATGACTTTAATGTCCTCTTTCAGCTTCTTGCCTTCAAGGCCATCTGATAGATTCCAAAATGCCACTTTTGGTTGTTATGCTATACCTCAGGATTTAATTTAATTTTAGGCCTATTTTGTTTTTAAACTCTTTACCTCTCCACACCCGTTGTTCTTGCCTTTTCCCTATTAAGAAACAGTTCAGGGCCGGTTCTTGGGCTGAGAGTATTTGTGCGCATGCGTGACAGAAGAACCCACCAGTGGTGGGGATGGGGAGTGTCCACTCACTCAGGCACCCCCTATAGTCACCAGAACGGAGGTGTGCAAACAGTGGGTGGCCAATGAACAGACAACAAAAGAAAAAAAATTAAAAAGAAAATCAGAACAAAGCAAAAACGACAGAGTATTTTGTCCACCTTTGCTCTGAGGTTCCCATGGCGTTATTCCATGGTGGATCTGCTTGCTCACCTGCTTGGTCTTGCTGTTTGGTCTCACCCTGGTTGTTGGCTCAGGGCTACTGAGCCTGGCAGATTCAAAAGTAGGAGATTTCTTACTTCTGTTACAAGTTCCACTTGCTATAAGCCTTCAAACTTGTTAAATGTTCCTACCTATGCATTTCAGAGTTTTGGAGCTCTTCCTTGAACCCACTTCGCCTGGTATTCTATGGTATTGCTGATGACGGACGGACTTCACTGCACTTCTACCCTATCCATCATCCAACCTTTCTTTTTAACCTATAATTGTTATGGCTACTTTTCACAGCCCCCAGCCCCCAAATATGCAAATTTCACCAATGATCTTTCATTTATATTAACACGGTAGTAAAGGTGGTTAAGTGAAGAAATATCATCTAGCTAGTTAAGTGAACATGAGAAAAATGACAACTGAAAGTATGTACGTAAAACATAGTTTGCTAGATGAATACCAATCATTTAACAAGGATTTTTTCCCCCTTTTGCTAGAATGAAATGCACTCTTTGCTGGAAAGATACTCAGTGAATGAAGGCTTAGTGGCTGAAATTGAAAGACTACGAGAAGAAAACAAAAGACTCCGTGCTCACTATTGAAATTTCAATGCATACCTTAATATTTTATAAATTGTGATGTTTCTAGTAATACAGAACTACCTAAAATCAGTGTTGTTTTTATGGCCTCTGGAAAATTTTGCTTTCACATAAAAGAATGATGATGGACTTTTACACAAATTGTTATTTCATCTTCTCTGACTTAAAAATGGTTTATTTTTATATGAAAAGCAATGTATAATATGTCACCTGCCTGATAGGAAAGTCCCCAAGATCTTTATTTTCTAAAAGCCTTAGCTATACACTAAGTGACCTTTTTCATAAGAAAAATGTGTGTTAAAAAGTTTGTTATATATGCTTTAAAAGCACTTTTATTAGCAGATCTATTTTTGATTGACAAATTGCCTTCCAGATTTTTTTTGGGGTTTTGACAGTTGAAGAGTTTGATATGCCTTCTATTTTTATGGAAAAGTAATTTAAAAATGGCCATTGGTGTTTCTGAGTAATTAGATAATAAAACACAGGGTTGGTTAGTAATTATTTTGTTCACTCGAAGTCAAGTATGACTATTATTTATTACTTGTACATTTGACAAGATAATTTTTGGAATTTTTAATTGCACAGATTAAACTATATGTATTGCATGTATTTTAGTGTATTGTATTTCTAACACAACTCTACTTCTACTTGAGTATTTTGTTGTTGTTGTTGAGTTTACTTTACCTTACCTGAAAATACTTTTAGGGGCTTTTAAGATTCAGCTAGAACTGTGTATATATCTGTTCATTGTCTCATAAATTAATGGTATATAATGTTCCAGTCAAAATGATTCAGCTTATAACCAGTGAGAATTTCATATTGTATACTAAATATTGCACTGTTGTTAAGTGATACAGTGGAGTTAGTTCTGACTAATAACTGATGTAGGGTTTTCCAAGGAGTGGTTGGTGGGTTTGAACCACTGACCTTGTGGTTAGCAGTCATATGCTTATTCAGTAGCACCACACCGGGACTCCAAATATTACAATATTATTGGTTATTTTTTTCTCCCAAATGTAAAGTGTAGCTTGTTTGGTATGTAATTTCTGTCATTAATGTCATCTAATTGTTTATGTGCTGTGTATACTAGTTTTGTATCACTGTCTGTAGCACAGAGCTATTTAGAAAATGATCAAAAGAACTTCAACATCTTTTCCAGTGGGTGGATGTGTGACCTCATGCTGTGACCTGCACATTAGCCAGGCTACTAGCTAGCTCCCTTACCTTCTTTGTCCCAAAGCTTTTCTCTATGTCCGTTGTGTACAGTGTCCAAATTTGACTTCTCAACTGAAAGTACTATGTAGATATATATATGTAGTGTACTAACTTTATGGGTTTCCAAAGTGATGGAAAAATTTAATGGGTATATTTAATAATTAAACATACTAATAATTACTGAAAGAAATGGAAACAAGAATACTGCTTTTCCCCAGCATTGCCCAGAGACGAAATACATTTTTATTGGAGCATAAAGGGCTTGTTAATGGGACCCTTTTCCTAGCAGATTACACAAGCATTATGACTTGTAAAACAAGTTTCCTTACATGTCATTATCAAACAGGTTTAGAAGACTTACATACTTGCATTTTACTTATATGCTGTATTCAAATCTATTGATATTTTCTTACTGTCTTTTTTCTATAAATACACATAAAATGTATCAAAAGGGGTGGGATAAATAAAACAATTTTAGTAAATTTATATGTATAAATGGGTCATTTTTATCATGACATTTAAAAGCTAAATTAAAGTATAAAGCTACATGTGGTAAAATGGAGATTTGAAATTGGATTTTTGCCTTTGGTCTAGATAAAATAATAGGTATTTGACTTAGCTTAGGAGCCCTGGTGGTGCAGTGGCTAACACATTTGGCTGCTAACCCGATGCTTGGCAGTTCAAAGCCACCAGCTGCTTCACAGGAGAAAGCTGTGGCAGTGTGCTGCTGTAAAGACTTACAGCCTTGGAAACTGTGGGGCAGTTAGTTCTAGGCTGGTCTTTAGGGGCATTATGAGTTGGAGTTGATGTCAGTGGGTTTTGTTTGATTTAGCTTCCCAGTTTAAAATTTAAAAATGGCAAAATATGTTTAATAGTTTTCAGATATTAGACATCAAGTGGCACAGGGTATTGATCTAAAACTGCTTAAAATCAGTGACAGGAACATTTTTTTTTTTTTTCCTTGAAGGGGAGGGTAGTAGTAAGGAGTTAGGGTTTAGGGCTATAGCTAGGTCTGCAATCCATATCATGTTTGGATCGTGGCTTGGACTGAGGTTAGTGTTGAGGGTAGAAGTTGGGCTAGGTCTGCAAATTAAGGCTTGATCTAATTGTACAGTGATTGTGGCTAAGTGCCGTCATGTTGATCTGACTCATAGTGACCCTGTGAGCTGTAAACCTTTGCAGGAGCAGAAAGCCTCGTCTCTCTCCTGTGGATTGGCTGGTGGGCTGGAACCTCTGACCTTGTGGTTTGCAGTCTGATGCTTATTGTGTGGAGCCACTGTGCACCGACTCCACGGCACATAACAACAACAACTGTGCACCCGAGTTTTAGGGTTCTACTTAGGCTTATTTATCTATTTGTTGAAATGTTCTTCATTTGGAAGTTCTGTAATTACATTATTCCCACTTTTTACTTTATGGGGAGTCTTTGTTGCAAAGTGGTTTCCTGTTTTCAGTTTTGTAAGGTGGTTTTACTTTGGATATTTGTATATCTGGGTAGAGTTCTGAGTGGTAGTGTCATGTGTGATAATCTCACGGTGTTACCTGCTGTTGTTGCTTCTCTGTCCAAAGAACTCCCTTTAGATTTTTGTGAGGGTAGTCTGTTTTGTTTTTTCTTAAATTATTTTCATTTCTATTTATCAGGAAATGTCCTAATTTTACCATCGTATTTGATGGGAAATCTTGCTGGGTACATGATTCTTGCTTGGCTGCTTTTCTGTCAGTTTTATATGTGTTGTGGGCTAATGCGTCAGACTGCAAAGTTGGGGTTCAAGCTCACCAGCTGCTCCTTGGAAGCCCTATACAGGGTCTCTGTGGGTCGGAATCGACTTGACGGCACTTGACAACACCAACATTGTCTTCTTGCCAGCGTGGGTTTTTTGCTGAGAAGTCAGTGCTTAGTCTTATTAGTTAGTTATAGGTAAATTTTCATTTTTCCAGGCTGCTTTAAGGACGTTTTCCTTGTCTTTGGTTTAAAAAGTTTATGTCTTGATGATTTTCTTTTGGCATTTAGAGTTTGAAATTCTTAAAAGTAGCTGGAGAGAAAAGATATTGAGGAATAAATATAGGAATCTCGTAGACAGTGTTCCAATATCTTAAAGACTCCGAAAGAGAAAACACGTAGAATTCTATACCTAATGAAACTATCTTTCAAACACACAAGTAAATAGAAACTCTTCAAACCAAGAAGTGCTGAAAGAATTCAACACAGACTACTATTAAAAGAAAATGTTAATGAATGCCTTTAATTAAGAAAATTATACCAATTAGAAATCTATATCTGCAAAGGAATAAAGAAAAGGTAAATGTGTGCTCAAATGTAAAAGACATTTTTTTTTTCTTATTGTAAATTTTATTTAAAGGGTGATGGATTATTTAAGCTAAAATAATAAAGTATCATATGGTTAGTAAATAAAAGTGAAATATGTAACTATCAACAAGATGGTGTGTGCCATGGAGTCGGAACCGACTCATAGTGACCGTGAACAGGGTTTCCGAGGCTGTAAATCTTTACCAGAGCAGAAAACCTCATCTTTCTCCCACGGAACTGCTGGTAGTTTCAAACTGCTGACCTGAAGGTTCGCAGCCCAATTTGTATCCATTACGCTACCAGAGCTCCGTATCAACAAGACTGAGGGGAATGTAAATGAATATTCACTACTGTTAGGCTCTGATGCTTAGTTTGTCTCTTAAGACTGCTTTTTGCCTGTTGTTGTTGTTGTTGTTAAGTGCCGTCAAGTCGGTTCCGACCCATAGCGACCCTGTACAGGGTTTCCGATTAGCATGCCTTATAATTTTTTATTTGAATTCTGGACATGTTATATTGGGTAAAAGGAACTGAGGTATAAAGACCTTTTGTGCTTGGTTTTATGTTTGTTGTTTTTGTGTGTGTTAATTGAGTAAAGGTTTATGTAGCAGATCATAAGTTTTACACTCAACAAAGAATCATTTATTTCATTTCAATGATTACAATCTGTTCAATTACTCACTTCCTCCCTGTGAATCTTGCTCCCTCCTAATTCCCATCCCTTCTGAATTTTGCCCTTAGGTAAATGCTGCCCTTTTGACCTTGAATGGCATGGTGTGTATTCCTCACTATGTTGTTGTCCTCTCTATGTACCTGTCTACTGCTCACCTGAAAATTGAGCCTCCAGGGTTGTCCAGCTCCAGACCTGAGGAATGACCAAGGGCCATAGTCTAAGGTTCTTTCACACACTTTCTGACAAGGAACTGTGATTTTTAAAAAAATAATTTTGAGTTTTGTCCCACTTTTTCTCATACTCTGTCTAGGACTCTCTCATGTGACACCATACAGAGCAGTTGGCAGTGGTAGCTAGACACCGTCTAGTCCTGGTCTCAGGGTTGTGGAGACTGATACTCATGTGTTCCATTAGTCCATTGGACTGACTGCTTCCAAACATCATCAATTTTCATTACTCTTACTTCCTCTGCACAGGGAGAGACCTATAGCTGCACCTTAGATGGCTGCTTATGAGCTCTTAAGGCCTCAGACATTACTCACACAGGTAGGATGTAGAACACTGTCTTTGGGGACATGGGCCTGAGACCATGGGCCTGAACCCCCAGCCCCAGCAACTCATTCTCTCCAAGGGTTTTGTGATGTCTGAGAAGTTTTCATGATTTTGCCCTGTATGCTTTACCGCATTCATGGATATGTTTCCAGCAAAGGTAAATATCCATGTGCAGATAAATTCTTGTCAAACCTTTTTATATATCTATAAGTATACTCCTACTCTCCCTCCCGCACTTGGTCAGCCTGTGTATCTATCCATTTGTCTCCTGTAGATCCCGATAATTGCAGGATTGTGTACATGGCAATACTGTATTCCCTTTGACCTTAATTCTCTCTCTTTTTTTTCCATAGCCCCTCTCCCTCCCTGAGTCTAAAGTCTCCAGCCACTCCAGCCATGTTATCATCTCTGCCTCCATCTCTGTTCGCTTTAACTCTTGCATTCCTCCCTGTGTCTCTCTTCACCGTCAT